TATATTTGATTGCATTTCTCTATTCAATCAGACTCATATCAACTACATGTGACTGCAATTCTCTATCATTTTATCAATGAAACACCGAGCTACCATAATTTAGATGATAACGAAATCGAAATTGAGTCGATGAGAGAGGAGAGATGTTACCAGATTATTATCCAAGGTACCAACAAGAATAAACTTAGCATTAGGCGAAAACTTGACATACGAAACAGGAGGAGTCTCATCATCAATAAGAGTCTTCATACAGTGACCAGTAGAAGCATCCCAAATCCTACAAAGACCATCATAGCTACTCGAAACAATAAGTGACCCATCCCGATTAAAATCAACCGCGGTAACGGGATCAGAATGCGCAGGAATAACCTTCAAACACTTCCCAGTCTTAACATCCCAAACCCTAACAGTCTCATCAAACGACCCGGAAACAATGATATTCGACTGAGGATTAAAATTAACACAGAAAACATAGTTAGTATGTCCGTGAAGTGTCTTGATTAGCGCCCCTGTGCGAACGTCCCATAGCCGGATGGTTTTGTCGTCGGAGGCGGAGACGAGGTAGCGAGTGTCGGAGGAGAAAGCTAAGTCGGAGACGCCTTGCTCGTGGCCTTCGTATTGTTGCATGGGAGATAGGGTTAGGGAGTTGGAATCGGAGTCGGAGTTGGTGAAGGCGTAAGTGCGGATGGTTTTGTCGGCGGAGGATGAGGCGAGGAGACGGCCGTTGGAGGAGAATTTGACGGCGGAGATTGCTCGTTTGTGGCTGGTTAGGGTTTGGGAAAGTGTGTAGGGTTTGTAGTTTGGAGAATCGCAATCCATTGCTTCTGCCGTCGACATTGTCTTGCTTCTGCCGTGGATTACAAAACAGCTTTCAGTTTCACTGGTTTCTCCACTCTATTGAAATTCAAATGGAGCTGAGTATAATATGAGTTTTTTATATTTTCGCTAAATTTGTTGCTTTTATTTTTGTCTAATTTTACTATCCCTACACTGAATTTAAACACTTTTTTATCTCCTATTTTAAATTTTTAATTTTTTTATTTTTTTTCATATTTATTCATTAAAAATTTATTAGATATTTTTTAATTTATATTTTTATTATAAAATTCAATGATAAATTTATATACGATAATTTATCATATTTTTCAAATAATTTGTTCAATAAAAGATGAAAGTATTACTAATTTTAAGTATAAAAATATGAGAGGAGATCAAAATTATTTAAATTTAAAATGATAAATTAAAATTGTTTAAATTTAAATTAGGGAGATCAATGTCGTGAAAAAAAGTAGGAAACTTAAATGTAACCTTATATTTTTGTTAATAAATAGTGATAATAATTTATAGAACTAGATATTTTTTTTCCTTATAAATATCTCACATTTCATTTTTAATCTCTATAAAAAAAAATATTTTAATCCTTATAAAATATTTATGTATGCAGTTTTAGTTTTTGTTATTTTCTAAAATTTTAAAACTTGTTTAATTACTCATAATTTTAAAAAATTTTGAATATTTTTTTTCAAACATGTTTAGAATACTATAAAAAAAAATTTTTAATCAAATTTTAGAATTTTTTAAAATGAGAAGAATTAAATATGATTTTTTTAAATTTCAAAAGATAATGATAAAAGTAATTAAAATCTCGACTTAGAAATCAAATTTTGAGTTCTTTTTTTTCAAAGAATTTTTTATAACGTTCTAAATATGTTTACATAATAATCATTCAAAAATACACATTGGTTTAACATGAGAGACTAAAATTACGTGCATAATAATTTTATAAGGACCAAAACATGCAATTTTTTTACAGGGACCAAAAATAAAATTTGGTAATTTTATAGGGACCAAAAATATATTTAATCCTAATTTATATTTAGTATAAGCATTTAATACAAATATCTCTAGAAACTCTTCGCACTATAAGCGATTGAATGGGGCGAGGGCGACCGAAAAAATCAGTGTTATCGCCACGGAGAATCGCGACAATCCAAACACTCCGTCAGAGAGGAAGACTCCGGAAGGGAAGAAGAACCATGTGTACCAAGAAAACTCAAGCAACTTTGCAAAAGCTCCATCGGATGAAAACCTTACCCGAGAGGAAACCCTAAGTACGAAGAGCGAAGAGGATTTGATGGAATCAAGGAAATTGTGGGGTCAATGTGCTAAATGAGAACATGAATACGGCAAAGGGATTGGCTATGGAATTCATTGCTCCTTCGATAATGAATGGAGAAATTGAGGTTGAGATAGCCATGGAAGATATCATTTCAGAGGTCAAATTTTGAAGGTTTCCAGGAAGCTATCAATAGGAGTTAAGAGTTGCCCCAGGTTGGTAGACCTATGTATGTTCTCTGGCATAAGTTGAAAAGGTTACAACAAGTTCTATACAAGTTGCATTATCCTTTGCTATATGCTAAGAATAACATTGTAGCTGCTAGAGAGAAGCTTGAAAAGGCTCAGCTGAATCTCCAAACTGACAGAATGAATAGAGGTAAGATTGAAGAGGTCAAGAAATGTTCAATAGATCTTATTCACTAGAATGAGACTGAAGAAGTTATCCTTAAGAAAAGATCCAAAATAAACTGGCTAAAACTATGGAATGGAAACAATTCTTTTTTTCATGCCTCTGTTAAATCCAAGCAGAATTCTAAGAGTATGAAAGTTTTTTTCAAAGAAGATGGGTTCTAGCATTACTTCTCCCACTGATATTGAAGAGGGAGTAATGAATTTATATGATGGTCTTATGGGTAAAAAGGAGGAAAAGCTTAACTTCATCGATGTGGTAGCCATGAGAAGAGGAAATCAATTAATAATGCTCAGAGAGATATAGAGGTTGATTTGATTGATGTTGTGCAGGAGTTCTTTGATAAGAATCGTATCTTTAAAGCATCCAACTGTACTATTAACTCTCTTATCCCCAAGACTAATGCTGCCCAAGAACATTAAAGACTTTAGGCATATTTTTGTTTGCTCTACTATCTACAAGGTCATGTCTAAAGTCATGACAACTCGACTAGGGTAGATCATTGGTATCATTGTTAGCTCTAACCAAGCTGTTTTTATACATGGTCAACAAATTCATAATCATGTGCTTTTAGCCTATGAATTAATTAAAGGGTACACTAGACATGGAGGGACCCCTAGGTGTATGATACAACTCTTATAGGTTCAACATTAATGGTTCTCTTTCTAAGATGTTACAAGCTAAAAGGGGGATAAGGCAAGGGGATCCAATCTCTGCTTACCTGTTTGTGATCATTATGGAGTACTTGTAGAGATGTCTCTATCAAATGCAAATGAATCCTAATTTTAATCACCATGCCAAGTGTGAAAAGATGCTGCTAATAAACCGTATATCTGCTGATGACATTCTTTTATTCTCCAAAGGAGACTTTGGCTCAGTAGAGCTTCTGCTTTAGGACTTTCATAAGTTTTCTAACTCTACAAGAATGAAGATTAATCCTAATAAGAGTATGATATACTTTGGAGTTATGGATACATGTACTAAAGAGAACATCCTCATGTTGACAACTTTTAAAGAAGGTAGAATTCCATTCAAGTACTTGGGAGTTACCTTAACTTGCAAGAAGTTGACTATTAATCAGTGCATGATACTAATTGAGAAAACTGTTAGCAAAACCAAACATTGGTCTTCCCATGTTTTGAGTTTCACATGTAGGCTTCAACTCATTAAAAGGATTTCCTTTGCAATGACAAATTATTGGTTGACTTGTTTTCCTTTGCCTAAAGTTGTGATTAAGAAAATTGAGGCTATATGTTGTTCCTTTTTGTGGACTGGGAAAGACATCATTAATAGGAAAAGTCTGGTTTCCTCGGCAGCAAGTTCGTAGGCCTAAGAAACATGGAGGGTTGGGTATCATTGATCTCACTATCTGGAACAATATTGTTATGTTTAAGCTTCTCTAGATCTCTGTAATAAAATTGACAACTTATGGGTAGGTGGATTCACACTTACTATTTGAAGAGTCAAAATATTCTGGAGGCTGAGATCAAATATGATGGCACATGGATCATGAAACAAGTCCTGCTCCAAAGAGATATGGTTGTTAATATTCAGAACCTTTGGAAGCACATGTGTTTCCAAGGTAAGTTCAATATGAAATATGTGTATGTTGAGTTGAGTTGAAATGACCATGCAACTCCTTGGTGTAACCTTATATTTAACAATCATTGCGCGCCCTAGAGCCATGATGACAATGTGGCTTGCTTGTCATAGAAAACTTGCTACTAAGGATAGTCTGTACAAATTTGGGATGATTGGTAACACTTGCTGTTGTTTTTGTCCAAAGGAGGAATCAATCTATCATATTTTCTGCAATTGTTCTGAGTTGAAGCAGATTTGGTCTGATGTGTTGAGTTGGATTCAGGTGAAGCATATGTTAGACGATGGAAACGTATCTAGAGGGAGTGAATAGATATACCCGATACAAAATATAGTTTTTAAAATAGTTTTTAAATCAAGTTAAAAACAATGGTTAGGTGGAAGTCGTGTCCTAGATCGCGAGTCGTCCAAACCGAACCGGTTATTGGAGGCTTGGATATGCGAATTATATAAACGATATGGAAAATGATGATAAGTGATTAATAATATATATTCTAAATTAATATATTCACAACAACAACCAGCAAATCAATATCCAATGAAATATTTGATAAAGTCAATTGATACAATTTATCTAACACTTGCTGTGCACTTAATTTTTCAGATTTTCCCTTTGAAATTTGTTGATATGATTTACTTCTCACAATCAAAGTGATTGCAATGTGATAAAAAAAGTGGTTAAATAATCAAAGGATGTTTCTATACGAATTAAATGCACAATCAAAAAATTTAACAAATTGCTTAATTTTTAATGAAATTAATGGTGAAGCTAATTAAGACAATTTATCAAACACTTAGTGTGCACTTTGATTTTCTAGATTTTCCTTTGAATTTTATTGATGCTAAAACCTCTTACAATCAAATGGATTGTAAGAACAAAAACAAAATGATTTAAACTTTCAAAGGATATTTATAACCTAATCAATTTGCACAATCAAGATATTATAACAAAATATAAAAGATATATATATATATATATATAATATATATATATATATTATATATATATATATATATATATATATATATATATATTATATATATATATATATATATATATATATATATATATATTATATATATATATATATAATAGAGAGAAGAGAGAGAGAGGAGAGAGAGGAGAGAGAGGAGAGAGGAGAGAGAGAGAGAGAGAGAGAGAGAGGAGAGAGAGAGAGAGAGAAGAGAGAGAGAGAGAGAGAGAGAGAGAGAGAGAGAGAGAGAGAGAGAGAGAGAGAGAGAGAGGATTTGTTAAGGAAGTTCACGAATCTTCCTTGATATGGCTACGTCTCCCATCAATTATATTTTGGAATTGAGACCAATTTCTTACTTTATTGCAAAAGTATTCTTTACAACATAAGTGTTCCAAGAGTAACCCTTACAAACCCTAACCATTTGTTGTTGATTCAATCCCTTCTCTTATTTTGATCTACTCCGAGACCAAGAACACAATAGATTGCCAATTTATTTATGAATCTTTATTCTTCTTTGCATAATTTATCTCCAAAGCTTTCATGCACGCTCAATTACAACTATTGCACCCAACAAACCAATGTGATCCATCGTCTCGTGCTACTAAGTTGAAGGAAATTTGTCTTCAATGTTCACTCGTAGAATCCGAGTTGTGAATTATTGTAATCCAATATCTACCAATTTGATTCACTGTCTCATGCTACTAGGCTTGTAAGAACCACCTATTCTTCAAGGTCTT